GGCCAATCAAATAAAGTTTTGAAGCATTGTAACGCCAAATGGACCGCACCCTATAATGAATTTATTTGTCTTTACTGTAACATTGAGAATGATCCGATTGGAGTCGAAACGTATGTCTTTGGAGTTATATATTATCATTATTTGAATTAAAGTTTTCTGTTTGTTACATCGTCGGCTTTACATTTACAAAGTAAAAAATATGTTTGATACATATTTTACTTTTTTTCAGTAAACACTGCGTGAAAAAGATTATCTTTTTTTAAGAATTTGATTTATTTTAATTGAAATAAAAGTACTTTAAATTTTTTTACCTTAAATTAATAAGTTTTCTTTAGATATTGTGGGATAAAAAATCAGTTAAGGCATTCAGAATTCGCAAAAAAATTCTCTAGAAAACATTTTTCAGTATACATATATCTTTGAAAAGTGTACGTTCCAATTCATATAAAAAAATCAGAGAAATTTTGTAAAAAAAATATAAAATTTTGAAGAATTCTGAAACTTACAAATAAATTCTGAAAAATAATATAGAGAAGGAAAATTTTCACCTGTGTTGAATAATTCACCATCCTTGTTTGTTGAAAGTTAGAGGATTCATTCGGAGAGGGAAGGCACGCCCGGGTGGGAATCCAAACATGTCTTAAATGGGACGAGGGAAAAGGAACAGACTCATAAAACACAGTTCGCGCGTGTCTCTGTTGCGTTGCTTCTGATAACGTACCTAATTAACACACCAGAGTGCTACGACGTATAATAAACTCTGGGGATTGTTTATTGAATTGTTTTTTAAATCGTGCGAATGCAACAATGCGACGTATATATGACACATCGCTGCACCGTGCCGGATTTGTTTTTTAAGCTTGACTCACGCCGGCGAATTTGTCCTTCACCGGTTTCGGTACAATTCGAGCACCTAAAAAGAGCAGATATTAGGCTCGTTTCAGCTGTTTCTCGTAAGTGAACCCTTCTCTCTGCCTTTGTACTATGTTTATCCTGCCTCCTTTTTTCTCCAATATCTAATTGAATATCTGTCTCATTCTAAGTGTAGATATTAAACGTGATAACATAATTGCGGTGCATTTAGGAATATCAAGATGGTGATGGTTTAAAGACAACTGATGCGAAGAATACGATCTATCTACCAGAAAAACAGGTGTGACGACCTGACGTAGGAAGAAAAAAAAAAGGGGAAAATTTCTCTCAGAGAGCTGTAGTTTGTAACACCAACTTGCATATGTGGTTTTTCTGAAACTTTTGTCGTTTGTTTAATCGGCTGTTTAAAATTTTGAACTTATCTTACTGTTTTGTTTACATTGTCTGTATAAACATTGTGATACTTTTGATATCTTATGATAATGAAGTTTTGCATCACGTGAGATTTGAAATGAATCTGACAGTCGGAAGCTTTCGATGTACTCATAAAAGGCAGAGTTAAACCAGTTGATTTGTAAATTTTCACTTATTCAAATTTTGGGAGTCTATTGAATTTATTATTCAATAGAGATTTATTATCTGCGAGGTGTCTCGTTATATTGATAGATATGGAGATGGAGTGTAACACTGGGTTTATCGATATGCTCGAGAATAGACGAAGAGATTGCGACTTCTTATGGGCAACACGGCCCATGGATCCATCATTACCACACATGTTGCCACCAGATTCAGTTTATGATAGAGAGAGGATTATGCAAGCTGTCTTGCAGGACAAGCAAGTTAAAGCTGTCATCGATACAATAGCGAAAACTACAGCTGTTGGAGTTAAAGAGGTTGAGAATAATGCTCGTGCCATGATAAATGAGATGGCTAGTAAAGCAGATTTAGCAACTGTTCGTTGGATAGGTATACTTTTGATAAATATTGTTAGTTTATATAATTTTAGTTTTAATTTTATGTACTACATATTCATTATTTTATCTTTTAATATTTTTTAAGAATTGATCAAGAGAGACTATAATTTTTTTATCAAATAACGTTTTGCATTTTTGACCTCAGTAAGATAAAATAAAATTGTACTTCTAATTTAGTGATCGATGAATATTAGCACGTTTGTTTTTTGCTAAATGTCTTATGTAATTATGTTAAAAAATTTCAGGTATTTTTATTACAAAAGCTATGAAGAGAATGTTCTCAAAGATTTATATAAATGAAATTATGCTTTCTAACTTAAAGAAGGAAACACAAATATCTCAAGCACAGTATATTTATGTTCCGTCGCACAGAAGTTACTTAGATTTTATTCTGTTGTCGTATATTCTCTTTTCTTACGACATGGCACTACCCAATATAGCAGCTGGCATGGATTTTTATAATATGAAAATAGTGGGAGAATTGCTGCGAAAAACTGGAGCGTTTTATATAAGACGCAGTTTCTCTAATGATTTATTGTACAAACAAATTTTTCGATCCTATATTAACACTATTGTTAGTCACAGTGATAGGGCGATAGAATTTTTTATCGAGGGTACACGGAGTCGTAGTCAGAAAAGTACAACGCCGAAATACGGTAGGTAAGAAAAGTTCTTAAATCTCAAATTATATATGAAAGAAAACAGATAATAAAACCTCGTTCTTTCACAGGTCTTCTATCTATCATTATAGACAGTTTACTTCAAGGCGACGTACCCGACATATATTTTGTACCAATGAGTATTAATTATGAACGCCCGCCGGAAGAATTATTATTTGTTTATGAAATGCTAGGAGTCCCAAAGCCGAAAGAAAGTACGACTGGACTTTTTCGTTCACTCTCCATTCTACAAAAACCTTTTTCTCATGGACGCATTTTCTTCAACATCGGAGAGCCAATATCCACTAGTCGATTCGTTGATAAGGCATATCGCCAAAAAAAACTTGTACAGCCTTCTTTCAAAATCCCATCATCAGTTGTGGAGAATATAGCTTATCTTATACTAGAATCGCACAAGAAGAATACTGTACTTATGCCGATCAATATTATCGCTTTACTCATCAATGAAAAAATTCAGACGAAACCGAAAGAACCATATACTCTCGATTTATTGATACGAGATTATCAATGGTTCAAGAACTTTCTTACCAAGTCCTTGAAAGCTTTAATGTATGGAACTGAAACGTAAGTATTAAACTTTATATAACATATAGCTTGGAATTGTAATTAATCTGTATATGCAATATTATTCATTCTAATTTTTAATCTCGCCTATTTTAGTTGTAAGCTATAGACACATGTTTAAATCTGTTAATATTTAAATTTTTAGAATTCTACATTAATATAATTTTTTTTTGTCATAGCATTGATAACAATATGATCAAACAGGAAATATTGGAATCTTTAAAACCACATGATGAGTTAATAGTGCTTGATTCATCAAATACGTTAAAAATCAATCAAAGGCATAAAAGAATGAAACAAATTAATTATTCAAATATTAAAGGATATACTTTGTCTGAACAGACTTTGCAAATAGCGGTATCTGCTATTAATATTGCTATTTATAGCAATCCGACCTTGGCTTTTTTAGCGGAAGTAGTTTTTATAACTGCAACGATAGGAGAGAATGGCATTCAAACTGGTAATAATTGTAAACGTTAACAGCAATAACTTTTTATTTATTTACTGTATATTACTGATATAATAGTAAAAAATACAAAAAAATAATTATTGTTTCCTTTCCATAAAAGTATAGCAGATTGATTGAAAAGATTTATTTATTTTTCTTATAATTATATTTTTTTTTTCTTATATATTTTTTTTATCAATCATACATATTTTATTTGCAGAAGTAGCATTGGAACGATATGAATTGTTAAGAAGATTATTGAGCACAGAATTTGCGATGCGACCGATTGAAGACAAAGCTTTAATTAAAATAGAATGGGAAAAGTCGTTAAATGTATTAATATCACAGAATTGTTTGCATATTGTGAATGATTTAATTTTCATAGGAAATAACACCAAACTATTTTCCATCTTGCATAATATTATATTACCATTCATAGACGTTACATATGTAATATGTATCTTATTATCTGAGGTAAGAAAAATTTATCTAAACGAAACTAACTCTAATAAGAGGCAATACATTGAACATTTATATATTTCTTTCTTTTTTAGTGGACGGAAAGAACGTCAGTTGAACTCACAGATCGGACAATTCTTGTTGAAACGCAGAAAGAAGTGGAAAAATTAATATTTGAGACTAAAGACCGGTGTCAACATCCCTACTGTTTATCTCTTGATCTGTATAACACAACATGGTCTAGCTTATTATCGCAAGGTATTATAGTATACCAGAAACATATCAATAGATATCGAACGGATAAAGCAAAGTTGACGTCTCTCATCGGAGCATTGCTCGAATTACCATTAAGGCATCCAACGGAAATCTATGTCGATGCGTTTCCTTTATTTATTTCAGCGTCAACGATGGATATACAAGCTAAGTTATAACAGTTTATCGTGAAACAATGAATTTGATATATCCATAATAGTATTGATAATATCTGTTATTGGTGTTAAATTAATAACAATAATTTGGTTTTAATTATGAGATTTATATGGAGAGATAAATGATCGATAGTACATATTCTGTTTTAATTTCATGAGCTATAGACATACAGGGTATGCCATTATTGGTGGCACAATCGGGGAAGGAAATAATCTTACATGAAAAAAAAAAACGGATAAAAGATATCCGATTTTTTCATACAAAGCTTTGGTCTTATAGGAGTAGATTAAAAATTGAAAAATCATTATTTATTCAAGTTACATTTATAACTTTTTTCTACGATACATATACAGATATATATGTGTATATATATATATATATAT